TAAATTAATAAATGCATTTAGTTAAAAATTGAAGATCAGGGACTATAAAACAAATACTATTTTATTTTTAAGTAAATACCTGCTTATAAATATATATGCATACATATAAATGTATACATACATACACATACACACAGATATATATATACATATATATATATATATATATATAGAGAGAGAGAGAGAGAGAGAGAGACAGAGAGACAGAGAGAGAGAGAGAGTCTCTCCTTGTGTGCAGTATTTAGTGAAGGAAAATACTACCATCATATGTCCAGGAACAAAGCAGATTTGCATGTACTGTGATTGGAGACCATGTTCTTTCCCAGTCTTTTCTCAAAAACCCATGGAGAGGGAAGAGTTAAGCAAGTAGAACTTGAGAAAGTAGTATTCTGGGGAGAGGACTGAAGTAAAAAAGAAACCAGACTTCATTTATACTATGAAATAGATGAAGATCTTTTTCAGAACTTGGGTTAGAGCTATGCTTTCTTAACTTGCACTGAAGTAGATATAAAACTTCACTTTCTTTTGATCAACAATCAGAGATAATGCAAATGTAATTAACTAGTGTATTGCAAACCTCAATTTTCATTTTTATTAAAGCAAGAAGTTATCTAAAGCTCTATGTGATTGAAAGGAAATGAATTAGAATGACCCTTACTGAGTCAATGTTTAAAAGGAAGACCTAAGACTTCAGTGTATCCCACTGTTTAGCTTTGGAAGAAGTATTTCTCAGGAATTGGTTAAAATCAAGTATCTTAGTCACTATTCTGTTGCTGGGAATTGACACCATGACCAAGGCAACTCTTATGAAAGAAAGAATTTAATTAGGGACTTGCTTATAGTTTCAGAGATGTATTCCTTTATCATCATTGCAAGGAGCTTGGCCATGTACAGACACTGGAACTGTAGCTGAGAGCTACACTGTGACCCAGAGAAAGAGAAAGAGAGAGAGAGAGACAGAGAGAGAGAGAGAGAGAGAGAGAGAGAGAGAGAGAGAGAGAGAGAGAGAGAGAGAGAGGATATGCTGCTCACACCTAGACCTATACCTTAAATAGGCTTTTGGAACCTGAAATCCTATCCCCATTGACACAGTTCACCCAATAAGGCCGCATTTACTCCAACAAGGCCACACCTTGTAATCCTCTTAATGTTTTCAAACAGTGCTACTCCCTGGTGACTAAGCATTCAAACAGATAAGCCTATGAGGGTCAAAGCCACCAATTGGAACACAGTAATACATACCAGGAAAATCAAGGCAGAAGACAGAATAGATGAAAGGTAAAAGTCTGCATGGTGATTAACTTCTAATAAGTGACCCAACAGTGAAGAGAGCTGTCATCTGTCTGGTACAAGAGACTACAAGGCTATTTTAAAGACTCTGTTTTAAAAAGGTATAGATACTAACCATAAGTCTGCATTATTATACCATCCGTATCAACTTTACTTGACTTAAAACATAGAAAATAATTAAATATCCCAAAAGATAATGGATATATATCTTATTTACATACATTGGGAGTAGGGATCTAACTCAGCATTAGTCCACTTATCTAGTAACCATGAGGCCTTAGATTTGGTCTGCTGTCAAAAATAAAATAAATAGGACTACCTTACAAAGTTCATTCACCAAAATGATTACAATTCTAAAGGATGCTCCAATACAAATGACCTTTCGTAGGTTAGTTTGCTTTTGGTTACTATAACAAAAAGTCTGAAAAATCAACTTAAAAGAAGGGTTTGTTTTATCTGCAGTAAGTTGGCCTATTGTTTATTTGTAGATGCATGTCAGAGGAAACTGCTTATGTCATGATGTGGCTATCGAGAAAATGAGGAAAAAAAGAAATGGTCAGGTCCAACTATCTTCAGCTAGCTCATATGCACAACTTCCTCCCTGTAGCCCCATAACTTGAGGAGTCCATCACCTCTCAATAGCACTATTGGCTGGGGTCACTCCACCATGTGAACCTGTGGTGGACAATACAAAACAAATTACAGCACTGGGGAAAACTACATTGGGGAAAATAAGCCAGTGTCTACCTTGGGTCTACTGAAAGACCCCAGGCGGGGGACTTTCACGGGAGGGAGACCCGAACCCAAGGAACACCGAGACCACGAGCTTGGATGCAACAGCAAGAGGCTTTATTGATAATACACGGGTACCCGGGGCATCTCAGTCTCGGGAACTGAGAGCCCCGAGCTGGGGACTCAGGGGTCCTTTTATAGCAAAAAGCGGAGTACAGAAGCAAGAAGCCTAGTTACAGGACCCTGATTGGACAATGAGGCCGGGGCTCACAGAATGAGGGCTATTGAGGTTTCTCTCAGAACTCAAGTCTCGGCCTTGGCCCTATCTGAGGAACAATAGGTCTCTGTGCCTGCCCAATCTTGCTGGGCTGGCTATGCGGACGCTATGCAGATAGCAGACACCTGTGTCCTGCCTGGACAGAGATAGTAGTGACTATTCAGCTGTAAAGACCTTGAGCTGAGCTTCTTTCTGATCAAAAAAATGACTATTCGGCGGAGCTGTGGGGGAAAGGAATTTTCCATAGGCCTCAGCCACCTGTGCTGGGCCGGGGTCTTTCACTACTAAGGCATATCCTGTATGATTCCATTCATATGCAATACCTAGAACAGGGAAGCTCAGAGAAGCCTTAAGTTTGCTAGAGATGACCAGGGGCAAGGGAGGCAATGAGTCATTACTGTTTACTTGGGATGAACATTGTAATCAGCATGATGAAAACATCCTAGAACTGGCTAGAAGTGATGACCGTTTAACTCTAGAGTGACCTATTAAAGATGTTGACTGTGGTAAATTTTATGTTTTCTTTGCTTACCACTGTGTATAAAAATGTCTCCAGGGGAAGAAAAGAGAAAACAAAAGGTGAGCAGTGCTTAAGGAATGGCAGGTAATGTTGCTCTCTGATTACTGTGTCCGCGCATATACATGGATACTCATGGGTTTGTACATACCCACACAAATACACACAAAATAAAATTGAGCACATGGCCATCGATAGTCTACAAATGTCCCTCACTGTTCTTCATGAGCTCCAGCCTATAGTTTCAGGATTTTGATAGAGATTTGTTTGAAACAATTAAAAGATAATAAACAATGAGCCCCATATACAAGCCAGGTGTGGGTCAGATAAAGGAAACATCGATAAGACACTGTGGAATCACTCCTTCTCCTGGCTTAAAATGAGAAGAACATTGGTTTAGAGAGTGTAGAGAGTGTTTACAGGGATACTTGTCACACATACTTGCATTGTGTTCATAGGGCTCGGCATGAAAAGTCAGGTGATGTCTTCTGAGATTAACTTTACTTTTATTATTCAAAAGTTTTGAAAATGCACAGGTCTTGCTTTGAGTTAGGGCATGGCAATTCTGGGGGAGTAGTTTCATATATTCCTTTAAGCTGAAAGACATTAATGAAAACTCATGGCAGCCTGGAAGTCTGTTAATACCCTGGTTTTGAGTTGTTTGCCTAAGGAACTTCCTAACCTACAATTCAGCTTAGGGAAACATAAGCCTAAATGCATCTTTCGGTTGTTTACATTGTCTTCTATTACAAACATGCTTGTTGGCTTTTAGCTTGTCCACATCTGACCAGAAAAAAATTACACCTTGTCATGCTTCTTCGTCAGCATCACAGGATAGAAATATTTTCCCATACATGATAGCAGTTCATTCTGAACTACATAAGATCTTTTTTTCAAACTTAATCCTTCACTGAATTAAAATATAATTACATCATTTTCTGCAGATGTGAATTATACTTATAACCTACTCAGTTACTATAATGTTGCTTGTCTGTAGAGAAACTAGTATTTTAACTGGAAAACATCTAAAAATGATTGTGGACTGGAAAACTGTAAGTTTTCTCTGAGCTCTCCCCACTTCGTGCTGGGATTTTGGCTCTCTGGATCTTTTGCAGGTCCTGGTGTGCAGTCATGTGTGCAACAGTGCTATCAGTAGCCCCTAAATTCTTATCTTTATACTCAATGATTAACGCCTCTCTCAACACTCATCAGAGAAGCTATTGTTTTGCAGTAGATGGAGATTAATAAAGAGACCCTCACTGATGCTCCACCTGCAAAGAATAAGAATGTAGAGCATTCTCTAAATGAGACATCTGCATCACACACCCCCTCCCCAAGGCTTAGGGTCTTTACTGAAAAGGGGGAAGACATATTGGAAGAGGCAGGAGTAGACACCTGCAGTGAAATGGAATTTGCTGCTTAATTCTTCGTTCCTTAGTGTCTCTTGCTGTCTACCCTTCTTTTTCCCTTTCTCTGAGGAAATGAACACCTTTTGCTCTTAGAACCACAGACCACATGGAGGGAATGCATATGGCAACTCAAACTCAAATTTGTTAAGATTTGTTTAATCATTTTTTTTTGTTTGTTTCTTGAGACAGGGTTTCTCTGTGTAGATTTGTAGACCATGCTACCTCGAACTCACAGAGAGCCTCTGCCTTCCAAGTGCTTGGATTAAAGGCCGGTGCCTAATGTTCTTTTCTTCTCAAAATTTTGAGAATGAAGGGGACAAGAAGGAGAAAGGTACTCCTTTAGCCCAGAAAGATACACTGAAAAAGGAAACAACACTGACTATACATTATATGCAAACTCTGTATTCTCTGCATGAGAAAATGGGGTCTCTGAACTGTCCAATCTAAAGCCACATAGCTAATAAAAGGAAAGGATCTGGAATTTGAACAAAACCCTTTGCTGGGGTAACATATGGTATAATTCTTATGACTGGGATTAGAAGATATTTTTAACCTGCAGATATGACAACATAGACTGTTGCACCATTCCCCCAAGGCGGTCTGTTGACCACTTGTTACTAGGAGCTTTTAGCAAAACACTTCTCATCCCCTCATCCCAGTAAGGCCTGCAAGCAAGTTCCTGTTTATTGTCTAAATGCTAATTCCTGTTTTAGACCCACCCCTTTGCTGGAGGGCCCTGGGAACATAGCCTTGGTGTTTTTCCACCAGGCCATTCTCCTTGTAAGAATGAGCCGCTGTCTTTGTCTTTATTTTAATCCTTAACCCTTAGCCTCGGATCATTGTGAAGTATGGTAGCACCATAGCCACGAACACACCAGCGGCTTGCTACAGATGGAGGACCCACCCAGATCGGAAAAGAAGAAAACTGCTAAAGAATTACACTCAAATACTGGCCAACAAGTAAGGTAGGAGGGTGTATTTGGATAGGGGTACCAAGTTTAGGGTACCAAGTTAGGCCCCAGATGGTGAGTCAGCTCCATAGAGGGGTGATTTAAAAAGTCAGGCCCTAGAAGGTGGGTCAGTCCCCGTAGAGGTGTGATTTAAAAAGTTAGTCCCTAGATGGTGGGTCAGCCTCCATAGAGGGGTGGTTTAAAGTTAGGCTCCTGCCCTGACTAGACCCATTGGTATCAAAATTGTCAGAGAATTCCTGAGAACCCACCAGCACAGAAAGCCAGCCAGCATTCTCATTAGGGTTAGGAGTGAGCATATTAGGTATGGGTGCTACTAGTTCCTACCCTCTTTTGGAGGACCAATTGATCCAATTGTTACATTGTCAGGGCACAGTTATCAGACATAAGACAGCCAGAATTCTTGCAACTTCTGCCCAATTGGCCGAAATTTCAGTCCTGGCCTTGGCTCTACCATTCTTCCCCAGAGAATCATTAAACATTTTTACCGATAGTCAATATATTGCTCATATTATCCAACCTTTAGAAACTGCTGCCTATGTCACTCCCATCTCTAGGCTACAAGAAAGTTTATTACAGATACAAGTCTGCTGTGGCAATGGAGGGAACCTATTGTGGGACATCTTAGGGCCCATACTCCTTTGCCAGGGCCCCTCAGTGAAGGAAATTGCACAGCTGACAGGTATGCTCAAATTGGTATGGTTTTTCAAAGACTCACTAAAGCACAATCCCTACATAAGTGCTTTCATCTCAGTGCAGGGGCTTTGTGCTTTCATATTTGGGATTACCTAAGAACAGGCTGTTCTAGTAGCCAAGGATTGCCCTCTTGGTGTATTCTTCCTGTGCCTCACTTGGGGGTTAATCCTCGAGGACTTTTGCCTAACCCCATTAGGCAAATAGATGTAACACATGTGCCATCCTCTAGTAAATTACAATTTGTTCATGCTTCCGTAGATACTTTTTCCCACCTGATATTCACCTCTGCCCACTCTAGTGAAAAAGTAAAAGATGTTAGGAGCCATTGTTTACAGGATTTTGCTTACATGGGAGTCCCCAAACAAATTAAGAATGATAATGGCCCCGCCTATATCAGCAGAGGTTTCAGTCACTTTTGTCTAGATTTTGATATCTCTCCCAAAACTGGAATTCCTCACAACCACCAAAAAAAAAAAAAAAAAAGACTATTGTGGAACATGCTCATCGTACTCCAAAAGCCTATTTAGCTAAAGAAGGGAGATCTTGGGGGCCACCTTGGCTCCCCTCATTCTACTCTATCATTTATCCTCTATATCTTAAATTTTTAAATTGTGGATGTTTCTGGCAACTCCGCAACAGATCACCACTGGTGGTCTGCTGTACAGCAAAAACCTCTAGTTAAATGGAAAGACATGACCTCGGATCTTTGGAAAGGACCAGATCCAGTTTTGGTATGGGCCCAGGGGTCTGTTTGTGTATTCCCACAGGATGGTGAGTCGCCAATTTGGGTTCCAGAGCATTGTGTGTGCTCTGTTCCTGCTGATATTCATCAGCCGCCAATAGACTCATTAGGCTTTAATAAGGAACCTGCCTGTCCTGATGCTGGTGGGTCTTCAGTATCAGGTGTATCCAGCTGTAATCAGCCTCACCCATAGCCTAGGAAAGGCAGCACTCAGAATGGATTTGCCTGCTTGGACATTTGCTATATTTAATAACCCTCCCTTGGGAGAAATGTTTAATTATTTCCTCAGGAATGTCGCTTGAGAAGCTGTTGATCAGCCTTGGTTGTCTGTGTTCCAGGTGTCATGCCTATTCCAGTGGAACTCTCAGGAGAGAACCAACTCGTTCTCACATGACACAGGAGTGACTTTAACATCACAGCAGCTGCAATTTTTGGCTTCCCTATGTCTTAGCCAGTTGCCATGGCAGGCATGCTGGATAAACCCCCAGGGGAGGATGCCTCTACCTTAAATCCCCAAATTTATATTAATTACAATTGGGCACTTTAAATCTTAATTAACAAATGGAATTAATTGGCTATTTTAACTGAGACCAGGGTGACTCCCTTTTGGGAGACCCCCTCTTAACAGGACTGCAGCAGACAGGTCTATTGGATTATGACCCTGGGCAACACAGTCCTTAGCCCTAGTTTGCCTTTGCCACATGGAAAAGCCACAAGCCCAGCACCATTTTCTTACAAAGCAGATCATGCTTTCCTTGTCAACAGACAACCCCTGGGTACAGGCCTGGTTGAACCAGCAAGACAAATGAGTTATCAATGTCAGGTATGTCCCAGGGGACATCTATCAACCTAAGACAGAGAGTTTGTGAGGCCTGGACAGACTTCTCATTGACAGGTAAGATAGATGTTAATGTTCCAGGCAACCTAAGCCAGATGCTCATTTTTTAATATATATAAAAGGGGGATTAGTTGCACCCTTCCCCTATGGTGGGTCTGTTGACCACTTGTTACTAGGAGCTTTTTAGCAAAACACTTCTCATCCCCTCCTCCCAGTAAGGCCTGCATGCAAGTTCCTGTTTATTGTCTAAATGCTAATTCCTGTTTCAGGCCCACCCCTTTGCTGGAGGCCCCTGGGAACATAGGTGTCGCGTCTGCTGCTCGGCCTGTGTCCGAGAACGTGCGGAGGGTGTCGGGGATTGACAACACAGAGACTCGGTCAACGATGTAAAAAAAACTTTAAGCAGGCTCCAAAAAGGTTCAAGAAAACTTCCCAAGAAAGGCCCCCACCAGAGAAGCTTCTGCTCTCTCCTCTACCCTGGCTGGTTCTGCTCTCACCCCAGAAACTGATCTGGGCGTGGCAGAAGATGCGGTTAGTCTCTGGACAAGGTCGAGCTCAGGGTGGTTTCTGCGGGCAGGCCTTTTCCAGGAACTTAATGCCCCCAGCATTGTATTGTTTTTAGTAAACATTGTCTTACAGCTGCCTACTCCCAGGCAGAAGGGGAAGTGGGTCTCTGCTCAAGGTCTGGTGTTCCCACAATAGGCTTCTGACCTTGGTGTTTTTCCACCATGCCTGACTTTGGTATATAAGGCTCTACCCTCATAATAATAAATGCCATTCTCCTTGTAAGAATGAGCTGCTGCCTTTGTCTTTATTTTTATCCTTAGCCCTTAGCCTCGGATCGTTGTGAAGTATGGTAGCGCTGTAGTCACGAACACACTGGCGGGCTCGCTACAATAGACTGTGGTTATTCTAACTTAAAGAATCTAATCCTTTTCTGCCTAATTGTACCATCTCCTTTGATAGCATCTTGACCATCTAAGGCATGAACTCCATAGTTTTCTCTCTTGTTCTTGGTACAATAATAGGTTTCATTTCATTGTCATCATTGAGCCATAATAAAACTTCATTGCATGGCACAGACAGTGAACTTTGCTCTTTCAGCATTTTTTCTTTTTTTGAATGCATTTTGTGACATATGAGTTATTGCTCAGTAATGCTGTTATTAAAAATTACACTTAAAGGGAGAGTCTAGGGCCTTCCTATTCTGTGAACTATTGACCATCTGTTCCATGCCCCTCAATGTTACCAGCTTTTCATCCACATATTAGAATATAAGTGGTTGCCTCTTATGGTTTCTGCTAATTGAATGACCTTACTTCCACCCTTTAGTCATTGACAGTGCCCCGTCACTCTCTCTGGCTTGATTCCTCCCTGTTAATGTGTTCCCATGAAATCATCCATGTAACAGAGAGATATGAACAAATATTAGTTTTAAAAAGTACCATTACTAGCCGGGCGTTAGTGTCACACTCCTGTAATCCCAGCACTCAGGAGGCAGAGACAGACAGATCTCTGTGAATTTGAGGCCAGCCTGGTCTACAGAGCAAGTTCCAAGACAGCCTCCAAAACAACACAGAGAAATACGGTCTTGAATAAACCAAAAAAAAAAAAAAAGAAAGAAAGAAAGAAAGAAAGAAAGAAAGAAAGAAAGAAAGAAAGAAAAATACCATTACCATGGTCTGTTTATACATGTTACCCATATAATAAATGACAAATGCTTAATGAAAATTATATCACTATATAAAGTGGGTGAACAACATAGTTTTAGTTTTTCCTTCTGAGACGTATTTCCATATGCTTAATGTGTTTTACATTTCAGAAAGGAATACATTCTTTAGATATATTATTGGAGACTATGGTTCACATCTTTCCCTCTGTGAATGTTTGAATAATCTCATTTGTTTCTCTTTGATGGTAGCCAGATGCATGGAACAAAGAGGCAATCAGGAGTACAGGAGAGAGGGTCAAAGGAATTTAAGGAAAGTTACTTTTACATCCATGACTTTCATTTTAGCCTTTTGTTTCTCCCAGTATTCTCAGTATTTTTGTTTGTCTGCTTTGTGTGTGTATGTGTGTGTGTGTGTGTGTGAATGTGTGTGTGCATGCATGCTTATATGTGTGTCTGAAAAAAACATGGAAATTGGAGAAATTATTTACTGCCACAATAATGCATTATTTTGCCCATTGTCATGATGATAGTAGAAATCCTAGACTAGAGACATAATGCACTTGTCTATTCCCACTTCTTCAATGATTTGGACTTCGTTTGTCTGTTCCCCAGACATCACATAATCCTTACAGGCATCTTCCTTGTCATTTTCAATCTACTTTACATATGTTGGGTACTCAGTTAAGAATATTACATGCATTTGTTTTAAAGGTTCTCAAAATATCAAGATCAGTGTTGTGGTTACTTTTAATGAATCTCAGACAATTTGCAAATGGAAGAGTTCTAATAGCTTGTTTGTGGTGCCCGCCTTTGGTCACATACCTAAGCCAGAATTGTCTAAATCTATCATCTGTGTTATGAACTGCAGTCTTGAAATGTAAACACAAATTGTATTTCTGACCAATAGTTATGGGTTGGAATGTTGATCTAAGTGTACAGTTTTCACAGATTTTTTTTAAAACACAAAGTCAACATCATGGATATGTTAATTGGAAGAAAGAGACAGTCTGGGGGTTCTAGGATCTTGATTATGTATATGTTTGATATTGAGAGGAGAGTTAGAATAAATTTGAGGTCAGCCAATCTTTTCTTAAATTCATAAACACTTAACTTAGCCTACATTAGTCTCTGTTATGGTGTTCTTATCCATGGAAAGGATGCATGATTGTCAAATGATGGACAGGTGTCATTGTAAGTCAATGATTCTCTTCAAATGATGTCCTTTGGTAACAGTACTGAGATATAATTCCCATGTGGGTAAATTGTATCAATGTATTACAATTCAACATTTTAAAATACTTTAGAGTTGTGCAACCACCAGCACTATATAATTTCACGGCATGTTCGTCACGCTGTTGCCATTTTCACTCTGCTTTCTTCTCAGTCCTTGGAAAACACAAGTCCATTTTCTGTCTTCTGTGATTTGCCTTTCCTGGGTATTTCTGGGAGTGGGATCATGTGGTATGTAACTCTCTGTGACTGGCTCTCTCATTATGCAATTGCTTCATAATTTTTATTACATAAATTTTATTAGAGAATTTATTATTCAGTTGCCTATCAGTTTATTCAGTGATAGATGTTAGGGATGGTCTACTTTTTGGATATGATAAATAATGCTGCAATGAGAATTTGTGTATAAGAGTTCAAGGAATACATTTTATTACTTTTGAATATCTATTGAGGATTGGGATTGGCGTGCCAACTTGGACCTTAATTTTAACACTTTAAAAAACACTTTCTTCCCCAGAGCGACTAAATCACATATTTGCCCATCTGGAATAGACCAGCATTCTCTTTTCTTCACATCTTTACTAATAACTGTTACAGTGTCTACACTGTTTATTCCAGCCACATTTGTAACTGTTTAACGGTATCTCCTTGTATTTTTAGGTTATTCTTCCTTAAGGATACAAATGTTCATTAATTGGTCACCTCTATCAACTATTTGAAGAAATTCTTGGTATTTGTTTATCATACATAAGTCTCCCATTCTGGAGACTGCCTTTACTACTTCTGCAAAGTATCCTATGAGGTATGGAAGCTTTACGTTTCTATGAAGTTAATTTATTGACATTTTGTCTTGTAATTTTGAGAAAACTGTTTTCAACAACATTTTGATTCTTACATTTATGGCTATGATCTTTTGGGAAATAAGGTAGAGGTACAACTTGATTATTGTGTTTACTTATAGACAGCTCTCTACATCATTTCTTGAAACTACTGAATTGTCTTGGCACCTTTATTGAAAATCAATTTATTGTAATGAATAGTTTACTTCCAGAATTTTAATTCTATTCAGTTTATTAATATGGACTTCTTTGTGTCAATACCAAAATCAAGTAAGCTGAAATTTAAATAAGCACCTAGTAGTACTTTAAGCACATGATAGGTCAATTGCAGAAAATAATAAATGGCTGAAGTCTGTTTACACTGCCCAATAGAGCAACTTCCTTCCCTGTGATTGTTTCCTCTTAATTAGTCTCAGGTTAGGTTCAAATTAAACTAATGTATTGATAAAATTCCAAAATAATGGTTGCTCCAACATGAACAATTACCCGTAAGTTAGTTTGATCTGTCCTTTTCTTAGTACAGAGAAGGTATAACTATATCATTCAAAGTGTGCTGCATTGATTGGAATGGAAAAAGCTAGAAATTAACTATGTGCAAAAGATCTTCCAAGAAAGGAGTTGCCATAGCAACCGCAGCCTCATAGACTACTAGATGACAGAATGTACACCAGCATATAGACAGTTTTTAGATGTGTATCCTTCCCAAGAGAGACTAAACACATTTAACAAAGCGATGTAAAGCAAATTATCTTTGTAGGAACAGAATCTCTTTAATATATCTGGTTTACTCTTTAATATTTAAATTAGTTTTCTTGGTAGTTACCCTTTCACAGAGACAGTTAGATAAACCACTATATGAAGTGTCTAAATATAGCCACCATTGTTATCTGAATACAGTTTACAAGAATGTAAGTATATGGCATGCCATTTCTATAAGATCATAAATTATTGCCCTTGGCTTTTAAAATAAATTAGCTTTTGTGACTGCTTCTAATTGAATCTGTATTAGGCTCCCCTGTTCCTTTTCTAATTTGAGCTTTCCTTTGAGAATTTCAAATTCATGAGTTTAATCGTGTAAAGTTACAGTGCTTTTGCACTAATTAGGCTATTAGGAACAAACTTGACTGTATTAAAGCAAATTCTGAAGGGCACCTTCCTTCCCAACAGTCTTCGTTTTGAAGAAAGGGTCTCTGTCTTCTGTGAAAGAGCATTCAAAGCCTAGCTTCTCATCGGTAAGTGCACACCATTCTCCAATGGCTGCCTGTGGAGCACAGCCTCATAACTGTTCTGCTGAAAGACACCTTTGTCACTTGCTAACAGAAAAGCAGGTCAGCCGCGTGTCTCCCTGGGCTGTTTAATGCCTCCTATCATCTTGCAATGTCTCCTGCAGACAGAAGGAGCTCTACACAGGACCTTGGCGCTTTCCTTTTTAGTGTAACCCAAATAAGGATTAACCCTGCTGATTTTGTTTAGAACACTCTGTGGAATAATCTCTGCCTTGCAATAGACAATGACCATGAAGAGAGCATGACTGTTATCCCATACTGAATTCTCTACCAAAAAAAAAGAATTTATCTTTTCTATCTAAGATGATGTGTGCTGGAAAAGAAGTTTCCTACATCATAAAATGGATAGATTTCTCATTCAGTTTAAGCTTCATATTCAGCTTTAATATTATTTCTTAGTTCCATTAGTGTGATCCCTCATAAGAACTATAAAGGCAGCCCTGTAATTCTGAAATTATTTAAAACAGTAAACAGTAGGCTCAGCATTATTTTTGCTGCAACATACCAAGAAAAAACTAGAGGGTATTTTTTTTCAAACTAATAGAAATAGATGCTATCTTGGGAAGATTTGATTAGATCTTAATGTTTAAATCACTGCGCATGATGATGGTTCATTTCTGCCCCTGACATCTTACTGGAATGAAAAATAAAGACATGATAAAGCCAGAGGGAATAGGGAGCGTCCTTAAGCATCCAGTCAGGACATCTGCTTCTGCATCCTGAAACAAATCCATCCCCTGTCAGACTTCAATCTTTCCCTCCTATGGAAAAATACACTGAAGAATTTTGTGGTAGCCACAGCCTCCTCTGCTTTTTCCTCTGCATCATTAGTATGCAGTCTGTATCGGACTTAGATTTGCAATTGCCCCCATCTCGCTTCTTCTGTCTTCTCCCAGCCTTTGTGGGTGTAACCTAAGGGCAGCCAGGTGGCTGAGGAAGGGCTGTAGATGTGCTTCAAGGTTTCACAAATGTCTGCCTCTCCTCACTGTCTCACTTTTGGTTTCAATTATGAGCCCCTGGTAACTCTCAATCTGTTGTCAAGACTTAATTTTAGATGCTATTCAGCAGCAGCAGAGATCTACTGCTCTCTATGTGGCTAACTAGCAGTAAATCAAGACTGCCATCAATCCCCCAAGTCTCTGCGATGGAAGGCTTGAGTAAGGAACAGGGATTGTGTGGAATCCTATCCAGCCCTGATTTCCACAACCTGGAAAGCCAACCTCTTCTCCAAACCAATGCTCTTTATCATTCTAACTGCCTCTCAAAAGTGTCAGGGGTAAAATAAGGACTAGTATGTCCATGGCACCAAGAAAAGGAAAGCTAGAATCATTTTGCTTTTATTTATATGGATAATAATTGGGAATAGAAACGTATATATCATTCCTCATGTTAAACCTCCCAAAACTGAGGTTCTGATAGTATCCTAACCCCTCACTCATTAACATAATTTGCTGTTTTCCTGGACTCCTATCTCTGTCTCTTTATTACTCTGACCTGTCTAGGACCCCACCTGTATCTATCACCAGCTCTACATTATTTGACAATGTAGCCAAACCTGTACCTTGTGCTCAAACCTCATTGTTTTATCTATCTTTGGCATTCTCAAGGTATTTTAAGTACCATAGCTTTCATAAACCATAGGAGTTTTTCCAATGAAAAGAGATTTAGCTTCCTATTTATTTATAGTATATAAATATGTAAACATACACATTGGATTAGCAAGCTTTTATTTTCTATGGCAAATACTTAAAAAAATTGAGTAGGAAAATCAGTATACTGGGTCATATTGCCATATTTATGATAGGTGTCATGAATGTGATCGATACATTAAATTATATTAAGAAAAATGCCTTCACTCAGGACATATGCACCAAAGACTTAGGTATGCATCTTTGCATGAGATTATATTTTCACATGACACCAAACTACCAACTCCTAAAAATCCTAGTGGAGAAAGGGAATGTGCAGTGCTAAAAAAAGATCAATATGGTGAACAATAAGAATGCCTATCACATTGCATTTTTCAACATTCTCACTATTGGAAATCATCAAAATAATAAAGTGGCAGAAAAAAGGAATAAATATAAAATGGAATAATCAAAATGTTTTGTTGAAGGTGGAATTTGCAATGTACATTTTATTTTACTTTGTTTTTATTTTACAAAACGCTGTTCTCTGTGCTTTTTAAATTGGTTTTCAATAGTTTAAACTTTTTTCTCTAAAATTGTAAACTTTTGTTAAATATTTAATACAAATATTGATCATTTAAATCCCAGTTAAAAGATGGAGGAGTATTTGAAACGACAATAGACTGAGTGCACAGTTTCTCTTTTAATTGAATCTAGAAAACTTTTCAATCCATGTAGGAAAAGGCATTATTTTTAAGATTTTTGTGAAAATTTTTTTCGTTGTCCTTGCTTGTTGACATACTGATTGGAGTGTATATTCTTTGTTGTTTCTTTAATTTGTTTTCCTTGAGGCTCAGTAAGCAATAGATTCTTGGGTACAAAGGATACACACACACACACACACACACACACACACACACACACACACACACACACATATATATATATATATAGAGAGAGAGAGAAACTTCCTTTTCTCTAAGAATGTTAAATTATTCATGTTTACTAATATGGATTTGGGGGTCTTTTGTTTTTAAATTCCTGCTCTTCATAGTTATGAGAAGAACTTTGTGTTGATGTCTGGGTCTGATTGCTTTGTGTGTATTTTCTTCTCTTCTTAAGTGTTTTGATTTTGTTTTGGAAGATTATGATTATTTCAATGTTGTTGTTGTTGTTGTTAGCGCATCTTTTCCTTTCTGGTAGAAAGCTTTTAAGGATAATCCTTCCTAATCCCCACTTGAAAAGACACTGACACAGTACATTTCCCTTCCTTCATTCATCTGGTTTTATTTTGTTGTTTTTCCTATGGATGTTAAACTTTGGTAAATAATGCTGTTTCTTTTAGTCTATAACTGTTTTTTTTCTACTGCTATTTTTGCTTTGGGGATTCATTTATATTTATGATAGTCTTTAAAGCCTATCTATATCATTTTATTTCTAAATATTTTTAGATTCCAACTTCCTTCACAATGTTTTCCTTAAAATACCTACACATTTATCATGTGTTCTAATAATAATAATCAATTTAATTTTTAGGCATTACCTTTTATCATATGTTTCCCCAAGATCCCTACCCCATTTTCAAATTTTTCTGTCATATTGACATTGCTTCCTGAGGTTCTTATGTTTCTTTACAGTGTTCTCCTTCCACAAAGGTATTTATTTCATGAAGAATGTTTTATACATGACTGAATTATTACTAAAGGAGTTTGTATCAAATTTATGCCACCCCTATGACTCCTATACTCACAACCAATTTTCTGTCCCACCTTTACACTTTATATTTTTAACTACTGAGTCCATTTAGTCATTATTGGAACAGGTTTATGGTCACCCAGTGGAAAAGTATCCTATCAGGGGATTCACCTTAAGTAAACAGACTCTACCTCCCCTAGCATTCTCAATTGCCAATAGCTCCTTAGCTATGGACGGGACTTCATGATACTTTCCATGCTGAAATTTTTGCTGGCTTGACTGTGTGAAAGACTTTTGTGTGAAGTCATAATCACTGCAACATCCTCATCAAGACTGGAAAAGCAATCTCCTATAACCTTTGACCCTTAGGATCTTTGAGCCTCTCTTTCAGGATGGGTGGTCCCTGAGACTTGCAGGTTTGGGTGTGATGTAGAAACCACATTTAAGTTTGTACATTTCACAGTTGTTTTATCCTTTGCACTTTGACCAATTGTGAATATATGTATCAATAACCATCTGCAACAAAAACAGTGTTCTCTGATGAAGACTGAGATTTGTACTAATCTATTGATATAAAAAATAAGAACTTAAGGAATAGTTTAACATTATATCCATTTAGCTGAACAATAGTAAGTTCTCTTCAGTCTATGACTTAGCCATCTGTAGGTTCTTAGCCCAGTTAACAATGCCAGGCATGAGATTTATTTTATGGAGCAGGCTTTAATTCCAAACAGAAAGAGATTGGTTAATTCCCAAAGCATCTATGTCACTATTGAACCCATGTGAATATCTTGTCAGGATTGTTATTGTTGCTCATTGCATCTAAAACTAGGAATGACTGGTGAACCAATGGGAATACCATTTTTATTGTTACTGTAACTCAAAGCATCCATGGCTAAGGAAGACTTGCTGATTTTTCTTCCTCAATAGTGAGTGCTGAAACTTCCAGCACTATGGAAACTAGTCAGTAAAGATGAAGCTTCCTGGTCAGTGCCAGATTAATTTCTATGTGCCCTATGATTAAAGTATATGGTGTCTTCCAGAAAAAAAAAACATCAAGTTCTTTAGTGCTACAAGAGACATGATAATAACTTGTGGTGCTTTGATGGTCTGAGAGACCCTGTGACCAACAACCTGAAGGTAGGGAACCCACTAGGCATATTTTTGAAAACTTATGACATCTGAGAAAAGAATTACTCCCACATGTCCTGAGTAACTCCATTTAAACTGTTTTTATATGTATATGACACATATTTTAGGAAGCTTCTACAATAGTAGGTTTCCATATGATATTTACAATTCTTCAGTATTAGGTTTTTAAATTTATTTCCATTTTTCTACCATGATCTGTCATTTCCCCCTACTTAGTCCTCTCTCCTTCATCATTTACCTCACTACATTCACATCACCTGTCTTCCAATATCCTCCCTGCCTATTTTCAATTTTCTCATTTTTTCCTGCTCTAAACAGAAACCTAAATATTAAAAGCTATGATTCATATATGAGGAAGCATATGTAACATTTGTGTTTCTGAATCTAGTTCACCTTATCCAGAATGATTATTTCCATCTTCACCCACTTACCTGCAAATTCCATAACCTCATGTTTCTTTACAACTGAATAAATTCCATATATACATATATATATATACACTCACACACATCCTGAACAAATTGAAATGCTACAGATGAATGAAGATAAATGAAACTAGATCCTTTCCTTTTACCCTGAAAAAAAAAAAAAACCTCATGTCTAGATGGATCAAAGCCCTCAGCCTAAGACATGCTGATAGAGGACAAACTATGGTATACACTCAATCTTAGTAGCACAGGTAAAGAATTTCTGAATAAGTTTCAAATACAGCACAAAACAATAATTGAAAATCTCATGAAAGTAAGAATCTTTTGTACAGTGAAAGATAGCATCATCGATAGATATATGAAGAACAACAACATAAAATAACAAGCCTCAAGAAAACAAGCAATCAATTATAAGATGTGGCATAAAACTGAACAGAGTTCTCAAAGAAATAATACCAATGGTTAATAAATACGTTTTTTAAGCCAGGTGGTAGTGGCGCACGCCTTTAATCTCAGCACTCCGGAGGTAGAGGCAGGCAGATCTCTATGAGTCTGAAGCCAGCCCGGTCTACAAAGCTACACAGAGAAATCATGTCTTGGAAAATAAATGCACAATATTTTTAACTATAAGGTAAATGAATTTCAAAACTATGTCTAGACATCCTATCTCACTTATAATGGCTAAAATGAAGAAAACAAATGAAAATTAATGCTGGTGCAAGAAAGAACACTTATTCATTATTTGTGGAAGTTACAACTATGAGAATTTTTTTAACCTTCAGAGGGTAAATATAGATGAACCTTATGACCCAGCTATCCTGAACATACACTCAGAGGACTCTAAGTTTCACTATAGAGATACTTGCTCACTCATCCCTCTTCATTTTTGCTCTAGTCAAATAGCCAGTAAAACACACACACACACACACACACACACACACACACACACACACACACATACACGTCATAAAATTCTTTTAGGGAAATACAAAGTTGTCTCAAGAAAAGTTCCATAGCTGCTTACAACTTCTCCATCCATGAACATACACTGACAGTCATCTTTCCAAGGAGAACAGATAGGAAAATATAAAATGACTTGCTCCAGGCCACAAAATAATGATGCGATTCTATCAACTGTCAGCAGTACCAGTACCTCAATAGAACAGTCTTTATGACATACTAGCCTTGCCTTTCCAGGAAGCTGAGAGTGAGGAGTTTCAAATTCAGCCCAGATTTGGCTGAAGGAACAATGCCTCAGAAGCTATTGAAGTTGCATGCTTGAAAAACAAACTTTGAATTATTAAATCCCAAACTGAAAGGATTGCAAGCTTTCTTAATTGAAAGAAAGTTATATTATACAACTAAGCACAAATAAGTTTGCAAATTATACAACTATATGCAAAGAATTAAACAGGTAATACAAACTGTTAATCATCATATAATTCAGAACTCTGTTATTTTAAGGTTGATAAACTTAATGTCTTTAGTTACTAGTATGTATTCCATAAGAACTTATCTTAAATATACATTTCACTGAAACCTCAAGAAACAAACAAAATGTGCTCTCAACAGATGAAGATATTTGGTATCTCCATATACACCCACTTAAATTAACCCAAGATGATTATATAAATGCGTCACACACATACACACACGATCATTCAAATTAACTCAACTCCTCTGCTTCACTTGTGTGATTGATTCTCTTGTCAAAGCCCCAGACTGTACATGCTAGCCCTAAGAAGTCGGACAGAGAGTCCAGGATCACGGTAATATGAAACATAGAGTAGTATGTTACACTCATCTTGGTGTTCCGAAATCGGGTCATTTTCCAGAGTGCTAGATGAGTCTTCAAAGATCCCTCTATTTTATACAGGGGCTCCAATTTCAAGCTTACAATGGCACAGTGAGAGCTGCGGGGGTGGATCACTGTTAAGAGCATTTGCTGCTCTTTCAGGGAACCCATGTTTAGCTCCCAGAACTGTCATGTGACTTAACAACCGTCTGTAACTTCAGTTCCAGGGATTCTTTTCTGACCTAGTTATATAGAATGAAACAACACAAAATACAACAGCGTAAAAGAAACCATGCAGATACACTAAAACTAAAGACATATTTGGATTTGTTTTTTCGCGTCTTTATTTGTTAGGACTAGTCAGAAAGGATTATGTGTGGTGCCCTTGCCTCCTGCCTTATCTACTTTCTTTTGAGGATTGATGAAAGACTGAGTCTCAAATTTCCAACCTAAAACAAAATAAACAACAGCCCCCCCAAAAAAGAAAACAAACAATTATTAACAGCTTTAGGACTCTTTTTTTTCTCTACCATGGTCAAGAAGCATACCACAAGGAACTTCACCCTATTTTTTACTGTGTTTTGAAGTGTGTCTCAGAATACAGAAGGTTAAACTGGGAATCAGGCTGTTGTTTTCCTTGCTGGCCTTCAGGTATTTTTAAAGTTGTTTGAAAATAGTCACTGAAAACACAAATGCGGTTTGTCATCTGACTATTTTTTACTTTTTGTTCTTTGCAAACATGGATGGTCTGGGATGCTAGAAAACTGTCTACGTCTTCCCAAATCAAAGGATGAGTAAAAATGTGAAGACAGAACAAATTGAAAAAGCTCATGTCTGAGGAGGTGCTGATGTTTAAATGACTTGTTATTTTTGGAAATCTACCAGTAAAATTGTATGGGCAAGAGCAGGTGTTCATATTCTTAGCAACCGTTGTCAGGGCCACAACTGGGTGTACAATTAAAGCCCTCAACATTCTGTGTTTCTTTTAGGTTTAAGAAGGGAAATTTAAAGTTTGATTCTCGGAAGGGAGTTGCCTGTTCCTTTCTGGTGCATTTCCCTGTTTTGGGTCCCTACCTTGTTCTCATTCTTCAGTAGGTAAGAAACAGCGTGTGGAGCAGACGATGTTATCTGATATCCAGCACTAAATGTGACAGTGGCTGTTGCCTCTTAGCTCTCACACTAATGTTTATGGAATGAGAAAACCAAGACACAGTTGTTGCAAGTGGAGATATTTTTGTATCAGACAGTAGTTAAAATGCTTTCTTAGTTTGTCCAAAACATGCATTTTAGTACTCATTTTGAGTTTCTCAATTCTCAAATGTTGTGTTTTCAGAAATAAGAAAAATTATAACCTGAAGGCATAGTTTAAATCTCCAAGGGGTACAATATGGTAACCGTGAATATTATGCCAAAGGTGCAAATAAATGATTGTGCACAAAAGCATAGACTCTATCGCTTAAAACTATCTTGATTGAGGCCTGAGAAGCAACTTAAAATATTGTGGCGAATCAGAACCCTTTGTGACTACAGCTGTGCTATGATTATGTTTAAGGCATCCCTTGTGGTGGAGACGGCAACTCATCAGCTGAGAAAGTCTCTAAATGCTTCAGCAGGAACAGCTGTTCAGCCCATAAATTCATGTCAGACACAATGACTGTGCTCTCATTACCATCTCCAAATAAACTGAAAAGGGATTATACCACTAGATAGTTCTATTGAAGCAAGCATAAAAACTTGTTTTCAGTTGAAGTTATACTCAAATGTTTCCTTCCAATCTTTTAATAATTAGAAGAAAGTTTACATAGAGTCTTAGTGGCTTTATTGTCAAACTAAACATGACACTAGCTTTATTACCAGTCTGAGATACAGTGCAGCAGGCAGGCAGGGAGAAGTGGGTTAAAGGAAGATTCCTGGCCAATATTGAGGAAGTCTTCTATCTATGGAGGCTGAGGACAGGCTGACACCCTGCAGCCTTGTGGACTGCCACTCAGCTTCTCTTACTATAATTACAAAATTAAGAGTTAAACTCATTCTAAGGACTTTTGATCTAAAAGCAATTGGTAAGAGACATGCCTGTTGTACAATAGAGCTGAAAACAGATACACACAGAAAACATTAAATTACCCACTAAAATTCTTTTACTAATAAAAGCAGAGCTTTGTAGTAAATTGTGCTTTTCTTCTTTATTAATAACTAATTTGCCTATTTTACATGCTACCACAGTTTCCCCACTCCTCCCCCACAGTCCTCTCCCCACCTCACATGCCCCTTTCCCTGCTCATCCACTCCTTTGTTCTCTGTTTCTATTTAGAAAAGGGCAGGCATCCCATGGATGTCATCCTCAGCAAAACATGACATTAAACTGCTTTTCTCTTCCTGATTGGGATTTAAGAAGTAATTTAAGTATTAATCTGTAGTTGAAAGACAAATTTATGAATTCACAAGTATGATGGGTTATCACCTCTTAGTATTGTCATATTTCAAATATCAACTGATTACAACTCAAAATTCTATTACAGACACCATGTTGTCATGTATTTTTTTTCTTTTACTGTAATGGAGCCAAATTGGAGCTTTCTAAACTCCAGGGGAAATCAGTAGCACGATATATTCAAAGTGTTACATTAGATTGTTAGCTAAGTGTAATTTCAATTAAGTTACAGAATTGTTTCTTTAATAAGAATGACTTTATAATGGACCCGAAGAAGCCCATTCAGTTAGCAAAGAGTGATAAACACTGTCTGTGAAAAAGAGACCCAAGCCAGAGGAATGAGGAGTCCAAAAGCACTTCTGAAGGTACGGTCTCAAAAGGGCAGGCTTAACTAAAGTCTGAATTTGATTCAGAAGTTCACAAAGCAAAAGGTTTTGTTAAGATGAACCTAATATTATCTTTCGGAAATTGGCAAGAGATTGTTAAAATTTCTGTGTTCCAGGCACAAAGGCACCAAGGCAATCAAAGGTGATTTCCAAGTTACAAACCTTGAAATTTGGCCCTGCTGCAGAAGAGATGAGAACTGCAAAGTACCCTTAGTCCTTTCCCCGGGAACCTTCACATATGCCTCACCAAGACTTCTTCCAGGAAACGCCTGGTAATGAGCAGTGAGGGTGAATCTGCCTTTGAAAGGCCCTGGGACTGCAGCAGTGTCACAGAGCAGGGCACACTGACAAGGGGTGAAGAGCCAAAGAATGAAATAAACAAGGAAATGGGGAAAAAAGGATGTGTTGAGGGGACAGGGTTGCAGCATAACTAAGTTTTCACTGGATTGAGTGAGATACTAGAACATTCTCTAAGAATGACTTTTTTTTTTTCTTACTGAAGTTTTAGAAGCTTAGTATCCTTGCAGACAATATGGCTTACTAATGTGCATACTAACTTACAAATTTTTGTCACAAATTCTTTTATGCATTCTATGCTGTGATATAGACTTAATGAACATCCAAGAAGCATTGAGTGTATTTACAGCACCATGGGGTTTGAGTATGCTTCAAGAAAGCAGGCATCATGTTAAAATAATGAAAATATATTATCTCAAATATCATACTTGAAGATACATATAGGGTGTTTTGCTCAGTTCTATCTCATTCTGTTCTAAAACAATTTCAATTTAGTTTGATTACAAAACATTCAGCTGTAAACATGTGCAAGCCTTTCATTCAATGTTACAAAAATAATATGTAGTGTTTTCTTTTTACCAATTGTTGTGTAGAAAAATTCCTCTGTGGTAAAGCATTCTATCCTGCCGGGTAATTCCTTTAGGCACAGAGTGTTCTAAAGGGAGACAGAGCATTCTTTGTTGGAGGCAAACTCTTTAATTTCTGGAAGCAAACAACTCACAAGCTTTAGAAAATAACAACGCACAAGCTTTAGAGAGTTCCTGAAAATTACCAGGATCATTAGGTCCTATTTTCCAAAGCTTACTTAAGCCCAACTGATGGCTGAGAGACACTATCAGACAAGCTGAAGTGTATAGAGGCTTCCCAGGCCAGCCAAGTCACTAAGCTGTCTGGAAAAGACAGAGATGCTCAAACAACCGATGGAGATGCTTTCCAATCTGCTGAGCTGCCTTCCAGGTGAGTGGCGTGTGCTCCAGATTACTAGCTTGTGGACCGTCAGCCATGCGGGGGCGGGGGTCTTGCTGGTGTAGCTATCTCTGAGTCTTGTCTTTCTTGTAAGTAAACCCAATAAAGTCATCACTTGGACTTTTTTGCTATCTTTAGTTAGATTGGTCCCCCACCTGTAGCCAGCAGATATCTGTCCATGCCTCCCCAGGAATAGTGTTACACAATACAAACTTACAATCTAGTTTGGGAAGCAGATTATGTAAACCAGACATGCACTCCAGTGACAAATGAAATGATTGCATAATAAATTTAAAACAGGTGTTATTTTAGTAAAGGTGGTCGTGGTTTTATTTATTCAAAACACAATTTATTCAGTAAATATTTCTTGGAAATTATCAATGACCAAGAGATATTTGGACACTAGAAAGATTTGATAGTAAAATGTACTAAGGAAGCAAACAATCATAATGTAAGTTGCAAAAGAAAACAATTACAAGTCCCAGAGATTTCAGGGATGGTCTTAATGCACAGTTGAGGAATTTATGGATCATAAAAAGTGGCAAGCACAAAAGCTGATTTTAAAAGAGGGGTACATCATCCTTATCAGAAGTCTTGTATGAGGGGACAGAGATTCAGGGTAGGGACAAGTTCCACAGAAGTGCAGGCTTTATTATTATTTAAGAGCAATGAAACCAATGCATCAGATGCCTGCTATTGAGAAGATGTCTGTTAGAGTTCCTAGGTGGATATAGCACATCACGCCACATCATCATCCTGGGCGACATAAGGCAGCCTGTGGAAGGATGAAGGGGGATGAGGGGAGCTCATGCACGTTCAGCCAGCTTTGTGACTCCAGGACTGGCCACTGAAGATATGCTCTGGCAGCCAGAGAGCAGACCTGCCTGTGTCCCAGTAAGGTCAGGAGTCCGGCGTAAGGATCCCCTTCAGTTCTGCACCTATCCCTATCCATGGTGATATTTTTACTCTGAACTCTTCACCCCACTTGCTCTTTCTCATTGATGCAGGTCCTATTAACCAGGAGAGAGGTGGAAGGATCAAACTTTGCCCATGCTTCACTCTGACAGATTCTTACTCCTCAATTCATAGCAGAGACAGACATTCGTCAAAGAACAAAATATGGTTTAAACCATAAACAGGTGACAGTCTTATATGCAAAATACAAAATGTGTATTTTCTTCATTATTACATAAATACCACCCAAATAACTCCTGAAATTCAGGCTAGAGTCTTTGAAATCTGTTTATTCTGAAAGCAAGAGTACAAAATCTGTTTAGGAATTTAGAGGCAAATTGACTTCAAGTTCCATGAAATGTATTAATTTGGCATTAACCTAATGGATTAAATGTACGATTTCCACCACACACTTCTTGTAAGATTCACAAGTTGACACATGCTGGCCTTATTGGTATCTTTCAACCCTGTGACATTAATCACTTTGTAGTCATTGTCACCTGGCAGGTATACTTGGTGTCATTATTTTCATCTGGAAGACTGGAGACATACAGGGTTCTTTCCTGGAGCTGAATCATCCTTTGTAAAAGCAGCTAGCTTGCACGGTCTGCATGGTCTACTTTATGATTTGTGTGTGTGCGTATGTGAAATAGCTAAGAAGCATAAACATGTCTATCACTCCTAAAGGTGCAAATTTTACTTTTCTTCCATTTCCAAATAGTCTAGTCATTATGAAGTGACCTTTAAGTATCTTTAGGGAAAGGACTTCTAAGGTGTTTTCAGATACATATGTAAATGTAGCACATGCACCATTTTCTTGAAATGCATCTTGTATCCTAGAAAATGCCTGGATTTTATTATATAAGAATGCAGATTCTAATACCATGGAAACATGTGCTAATTATTACAACATATTCATTATGGTTACTTAATCATTGCCATTTCTCCTAAATTGAGAATGTATGTAATATGATGTTATGTTTTCTTGCATATAATACATTCTCTTACTCATCTGAGCTCCAGCCGAGCTTCTGCAGCTGTCAAGAGAAAATGTTCAAGATAGACAGCAAGGATGGGGCATTTGAATGGAATGTAACAGCTGGAGAGCAGGCATATTTGTAAGGGGTGATTTTCTCAGTGCACTTTGCCTCCTTAGCTGCATTGCAGCTGCTTTGCTTGAACTGTAATTGGTGGTTAGAAAAGTAGGATCTCCTCTTCAAATCTTACTCATCTCCCCGCAATCTACTTTGCCTTCTTCTCTCTCAAAATCACTCCAGGGCTATAGTAGCCCCAACAACTCCACAGTGGCAACTACTTCCATAGCCAGAACACCAATCCACCTTCCAAATGCTTGGCTTCATTTTGGATTTGTTTCTTTTTTGTGAGTTCTTGGTCACCATGTATCAAATGATAGTTATTTCAGATCAAACCTAGTGAAGTCAGACAAAATAAATTTGCCTCAAGGAGGAGTTGTTATATTTTCGGAAGGATTTGAAGAAGTTTTTCTTTAATTTAGAACTTTGCTAGAATGGAGGGGAATATCTGATAGTTTTAATAAGATCTGACTGAAGATCACCCCTCTCTCCTGTGCCTCCTCTAATTCTAAAGGACAGTGATGGATGTTAAATTACAGCTCAATAGTGCTCTACAGGAGTACGTGCTTCCTTCATCAGTTCTGAGATTCTCCTGGGTTTGATGACAAGTTACATCACTCCAGGGCACAGCAGCCCACAAGCATGTTCACAAAGTCATCCTTTGAACCCTAATTGGCCCTTTTTAGACCATCTGAAAACCCGAGTGTTTTATTAATAGTTTATGTGTGTCCTCTATTGGACTAAGTAGTGAACCTTTTGGCACTATGCAAATTCCCATATTAATGTGATGCTGCACATATTGAAAGTTAATGTCAAGGCATTTATGTATTTATTTAGTCCAGCCAAAGTCGGGCCTAGTGATTATTTATAACCAAGGAGACATAACCCTTACCAAGGGGTCTGGAAGATGACTCAGTAAGTAAAAACACTTGCCACCAAGCCTTACTGTCTGAGTTCAATCCCAGAAACCCCCAAGGAGGAAGGAAAGAACTGATGCTTGTAGCTTGACATGTGACTCATACAAAAAGTGAATAAATGTTGATATGTAGAATATTCATCATCATGAAAGCAGAGAATTATCAACTCAGGGAATGGTGAAATGGTGTTTTTGAATGGAATGTTGGTATCTAGCTCAGTGTTACTGTATGCATGCAGCTGTAGGTTGGATCTCTAGTGCTGCATAAGGAAATAATAAACAGATACAAAGAAACTGAAACATGGTTGCATAATTATCTGATACCAGAGCATCTCAGCAAGTACTGGGTGGATTTCAAACCTTGGGAAGAATTGTCAAGGTCGGAACAGAGTGGAGACCTTTGAATGTGGATCCTCATTCTCTCACTGGCCTTAGCCAGACCCTTTCTTACCCAGGTAAGACAAACAGAGCACATTTGCTTCTAAACTGAATCTGATTCAAAGTGAAGTTACCACCTTTTATTCGTATAAAATTGTATTCGAATTGGATTACCAAAAGAGTGTTTGTAAAAATTAAATTGGATTTCTATTCACTAACAAGACTATATTAGTATACCCCAGTTATTTTCACAAGAACAAAGGATCTAAATCAAACTCCAGAAATATAGATGGAAGGCATTCGACTGCTGCTTTTTCTAAGGCTGCTGACTCACTCTTAATGATGGCCATGATAAATATGTATGGACAGATTCTATTTCTGGTTTGTAGTCAGCCTAGAAACCTTGGTGCAGCTAAAGATTCTGTGAGTTTCCTGGCAAGGAAAGACCTGATGACACATGCAGAAAATTGAATCCCATGGGGATCTGATGGGTGTTATTTTGAAAGCTGGTATTCAGTTGTGTAGAAGACAGAAAGGCTGGCCTTCCACACCCTCCTAAAGCTGGGAGATCTGTGTTATTCTCAATGCAATTATCCTTAGATGACAACTTTTTGTTCTTTGCTAGTCCATCAAACTGTGGATATTGTTAGCACTTTTTTTGAATAATTGCAGTGTTTCTATGCTTTTTTTTTTCCTCTCAAAATGAAGCTCTCCTCTTCACCTACGCATTGATCACTTGAGTGTGGCTAGCAAGCAAGCAGAGGATTCTTTTGTGTTTGTTTTTGTTTTTTCAAGACAGGGTTTCTCTGTGGCTTTGGAGGCTCTGTAGACCAGGCTGGCCTCGAACTCACAGCCTCCTGCCTCTGCCTCCCGAGTTCTGGAATGAAAGGAATGTGCCACCACTGCCCGACCCAGGGGATTCTTTAATTGCATTAGATTCTAATTTTAAACTTTAATTAAGATTTATGTATGCACATGTGACTAGCTGCTGTCATTTCGACAGTGTGATTCAAGAACATACAAGAGAATACCAGGGGGGCCATTTTGCTGTCTGTGTTTTCCCCTCCAAAGTGCCAGACTTTATGAATGTTTCTCCTGTGAGACAGTCTGCTTTAGATGCTACCTTTTACAATAAATTCAACATCTTAGGAGTATTATCAACACTACTTCAGATAAGTGACATATCTGGAAGTTACAGTTTAGAGAAAAGGTTGTCAACCTTCTTCTTTCCCCTCTGTGGCAAAGCCTCCTCCTATGCCTTTTAAAAAACATAATTTATTTGAGAGGAAATAGGTGCTACTTTTTTAAAACCCCTCTCAATGGAAAGACTCACCTAAAACTCACCTAAACCCAAGTCAATGGTTTTACATTTTAAATGGCTTCTTGTTGAATTAATTGTGCTTTTAAAAATTAATTAAATCTTAATTAAGGAAAAATGCAGCCTAGTCTTTATATTTACAACAACAATAAGGTGTTTTACTAGACATCAAGAATATACTACAGCATAAATTACAGCATTCGGTACCAAGTATTTTACATATGAACTCATGGTCAGCAAAGTGATACCTCTGGAGCTTTCACAACATCATCATTTCACAGAAGTAGCAATTGAAAGACAGAGAACTGAACTGCAAATCCATGTAGACCCACAGCCATCCAGAGACAGCTGCTGGAGGCATACTCAACAACTGTCCTGAGCTTAGTGCTCCTGCAACTGACACTCTTTTACAGAAAGATTTAAAAGAAAACTATATAAATGACATTGCATGTTGTTGATATGTTTTCTTCCATTGTGCTTTTAAAAATCATATGTAACTACATATATAGTTATGATTTGAATAAAAATGTTTCCTTCATGCTTCTTTCCTGGAAGTTGGTCTCTAGCTCATAACATTTTGGAAACTTCTGGATATTTTAGAGGTGTATTTAGATTATAAAATATGTTTATTTTACTATGTAAAATCACAGTAGAATGCTATGGATACCCCCTTAGGGATTGTATCTTGTTGTGAAGCTTTCTCGTTTTTCCTGTTTCTGTATCCTTTCTTTCCCCTCTGTTCTCCTTCTCCTTCCGGATGACCACAAGGTCACTCCCCCCATCACATGGCTCCTCAGTAAAATGTTCTGTCTCACAAACATCACCCCCAAGTGTATTGAAGTGAAAATGGGAAGAACTTTCTACAATAAAGAATCCCATTGTATCTTTTCTTCTTTTAAATTACTTCAGTTACAGGTATATAAAAACAACACAGTTGTGGGATTATCAGAAACAAAATAGTTAACACAGTCATCACTGCACAGATTTATCTTTGCATGTGTGTTGGGAATTCTTAGACTCTCCTCACATGTTACATCTCCAGATTGTAGCAATGAAACTTTGTGTTACCTCCTTGAATGGCCTTAAGACTGTGCTAAGGGACTTGACAGATTGCTCAGAGGCAGAGTACTTGCTGCTCTTCTGGAGAACCCGAACACAGTCCTATCTAATCAGGTGACTCAAAATCATTTTTAATGGAAGCAACATAGGATAACATTAAATAAATGATAAAAATATTTTAAGAAACAATCTGATATCCAATGGACCAAAGTTTGAGTAGTTATAGAGAATATGTAGATCAAAGAAGAAATATGAAGACAAATTTAAAAATATTTTGTAATAAAAAATGACAATAACTAATTAGAGGCTTGTACCAAAATTCATACTTTTGGAAAACATGGCATTAAGTACATATATTAAAATAGTTCTAAAATCAGGCACTAATCTTCCACCTGTGTTAACTATGAAAGAAGGGCAAATTAAATCCATGATAAAAAGAAGAAAAGAAATGATAGAAATTAGACACCTGGAAAATTGAAAAATAATTCCAGGTGTTTGGAAAGATAAATTAAAAAGCAAGCTTCTTGGAGTGTGCAGGACGTAAAGAAGACCACAGAAATTCTCAATATCAGAAGGAAAATAGGGCCATCACTCAAAAGCTGAATAAAACTAAAAGATGAATCTGGCATGAGGGTGCTGTGGATGTAGACATGCACATTCATACAAGGATGTCTGCTCATCTATGTTCATAGCAGCATTCTTTGTAATAGCCAGAACCTGGAAGCAACCTAGATGCCCCTCAACTGAAGAGTGGACAGAGAAAATGTGGGACATTTACACAATGGAGTACTACTCAGCAGAAAAAAACAATGAAATCATGAAATTCGCAGGCAAATAGGTGGAACTGGAAGGAACCATTCTGAGTGACGTAACCCAGTCACAGAAAGACAAACATGGTATGTACTCACTGATGTATGGATTTTACACGTAGAACAAAGGTTTTCCAGCCTACAATCCACTCCTCCAGAGAAGTTAGGAAACAAGGAAGACCCTAGGTGATACACACATGGTCCCCTAGAGAAGGAGAAAAGAATAAGAGCTCCTGAACAAATCGGGAACTCGGGGGGGGGTGGAGGTGGGGGGAAGTGGCGTGGTAGCAGGCATAGGAGAAAGAAGAGTGGAGAAGAGGAGGGGGAGGAGAACATGAGGTATCAATCAGGAAGACTGAGTTAGAGGATGAATAGAGGAGAGTAAGAAAAGAGATACCTTATAGAGGGAGCCATTATAAGTTTAAAGAGAAGCCTGACACTAGGGAAATGTCCAGAGATTCACAAGAATGTCCCCAACTAAGAATCTAAGCAATAGTAGAGAGGCTACCTTAAATGCCCTGCTCCTATAATGAGAATGATGCCTTCTGTAAATGCTATCCTAGAGTCTTCATCCAGTAACTTACAGTAGCAGAAGGAGATATCCACAGCTAAGTACTCAGCCCAACTCCTGGAATCCAGTTTCAGAGAGGGAGGAGTGATGAGTAAAGGAGTCAAGACCATGCTTGGAAAACCCACAGAAACAGCTGACCTGAGCAAGTGGGACCTCACAACCCCAGTCTGATAGCTAGGGAACCAAAATAGGGCCAAACCAGGTCCCCTGAACACTGGTGTCAGCTAGGAGGCCTGGGCAGTTTATAGGGCCTCTGGCAGTGGAACTAGTATTTATACCTAGTGCACAAATGGACTTCGGGAGCCCATTCCCCATGGAGGCACACTCTATTAGCCTAGATACATAGGGGAGGGACTAGACCGTGCCCCAATAAATTGACAGATTTTGACGATCAAATCTGCCATAGGAGGTCTCACCCTCCCTGGGGAGTGGATGGGGGATGTGATGGGGTGGTTATTGGGGGGCATGGGAGGATGACAGGGAGAGGGAACTGGGATTATATGTAAAATAAGATTATTTTTAGATTAAATAAAATTTATCTAAAAAGAAAGAAAAATAACAGTGGAATATTCTGAACAACGAAGTGCTCACAACTTGATACTTTGAATGAAATTGGCTTATCCAGGGGGAAGCAAAGTTAGGGAGTAGGGAGAGGAGGCCCTGATAACCTGTACCATGTGGTTCATGAGCTTTAGTACCTGGTTTTTGGGAAGTTGAAGCTATGGAGTAGATAAACCCTAGAGCAGAGGTTCTCAGCCTGTAGGCTGTGGCTTCCTGGGAGTCAAACTTCCCCTTCACATAAGACCATCTGAAAACACTGATATTTGATTCATAAGAGTAGCAAAATTACACTTATGAATTGGAATGAAAATAATAGTTAGGTTTGGGATCACCACAACAGGAGGAACTGTATTAAAGGATAACAGCATTAGGAAGGTTGAGAATCATTGCCTTAGAGAGATGTGGAGCTTTGTAGAAGGTTTGAAATTTTATGAGAAATCCAACAGCAAGAGCTAGGACCATAAGATATCAGATCGGCGATGCCCAAACTTGTGTCCTTAGGAGTACAGTCCTGAGCATGCTCAATTTAAGGCAATAATCCAATACTCAAAGATAATACACATTTGGGAACACAGTAGCTCAAATTCATGGAATATCTTTAAGAAGTTAAATGGAGCAACAGAATCTCCTCTGGGCATGTTCAGCCTGCAGCAGGCAGTTTTAGCTGAAAGGAAAGGACCCAGGATGTGTTCTTGATGGGCCCAGTGATAAGTGGCAAACAGACTAAGAGTAACTTCATTTTCTTAAAGTTCCATGAAAAGGAATGAATTTCATCAAGAAGGGCATTGTAGAGGCATGCTCCAGTAGTAACAGACATCTAATACCCCTGGGTTGGGTACTGAGCATTTTACATATGCACTGACCATATTCAGCAAAGATCCAAAGATTTCGACTCTAACTGCTCTAGTTACTTGCTTGGGGAATGATGTTCAGCTAACCACACTGTGTCCCGCCCGTGTCAGGAGCTTCAAGTATTAGGAGGCAGCTGAGTGGTGTGCTTGCTCCCTGAGGATCCTCAGCAGATTCAGCAGATATGTAGCTTCATTTTTGTTTTTACATTCTTCAGCTTACAGGCCTCAGCATGATTCTATTTTGATTCTTCCTTTTTTTTTAATCACCAGACTTACAGAGAAGTAAAATAAAGCCAATATTCCCCCATGCTGAGTTTTTATAAGGTTCTGGGCTGAGGACAGCATGCCAGAAACTATTTGGAGATCTATGGCTTAAAATAGTGAGAACAGCAGCAGCAGCGTTTGGGTGAGCTAAGTACAGTACAAAAAAGAAATACGGAACATCCCATCTGTCACATATCATCTGGTCTCCCACTGCCTGCCTTTTTCTCTAGCTCAGACTGGGGTTCTCCACTTCAGAGCACACCAAACACGTTAGTTGTTTCATAGACCTCAGCTGTTTGGTGATAGCTTTCATGCAGGTCTGACAGCAAGGAATTGGACTTTCTCCCAGCATTCTCTACCAAATTAGAACCAAACAGTTAATTGTGGAGCCCAATGTATTCACTGCTGCAATGGGGATCTGTGACACCAATGTTAAGTCAGGCTCACACACAAAAATGACGGGAGATGTTGTTGGTCATCGCACTTAGTACCATTAGTACATTGTCGGATGGATAATATAAAATGCATGGAAATTCTACAACTTTCAGTTATCCTTTCATGTGAATTGAGTAGTTTAGAAAGTGTGGGCTGGTGAAATGGCTCTCTGTGTGAAGGAAAAGACACATGGTGGAGAGAATCAACATGTGCAAGTTTTATCTGATTTCCACCTGCATACTGAGGCATGCACAAACACACACACACACAACACACACACACATCCCAAAAAATAATTAAAGAGTGTATTTCACTCATTTGAAACTCATTTCACTTATATTATGAAAGTGCCTTGGCTAAGAGATCTATGATGAGGACTAAAATTCATATTAATTGAAGACACACCACAGAAGCAGTAGTTTAAGAATTATATCATGTCTGTTATAAACCAAGAATATATACACATACATGTACATCTTATTTTAATTTTTAGTTTAAATTTTCATACATAAAATATTTATAACTTTAAAAACAGGTCAAAGTCAGAAGCTGCTAAAATGAGGCAAAAAACTAAGAGAAACAAGTCATTCTGCAGCAACACGGCAACATTTTCTTTGTTGACGCTCATGTCAATTTTAACAAAGTCCTATGGCTTCTACCATTGCTCAAAATATGTCAACTCTGGACATGCCATTTTGCCTATAACTTATAAAGAGATGCTTATAAATTTTCTTTGGACATTGATGCTAGCAGAAGTGAAATTTAGGATGATTTCCATCATGATTGATTGAACATGATTCTCCACAATGGAGAAAAATGGGTCTACAAGGGAAAAAAATTTGGTGAAGGACATTCTTCGAGGTGGCCACAGTACATGACTGCTAGGATATTTTATGTCTAGTGCAATTAAAATGCTAAAATGATGACTTTCATACAAGTAAAAGATGAAAATTTGTCACAGCATTTTATTTAACTTGTGAACTGGACAAGTAATGGAATAAAATGTTAAAATTGGCTTAAAATCACTTTGATAAAATAAGTGTCAGAATGTATTTAGATGATAGATTTTTAAAATATGTAAAATACTTTATAACACTACAGTAGACTTTAAAAGAGTTTAAAATACCAGGCAAGGAGTCCAACAACAATTATGGATATTTTACTCCAAAGGATAGCATGTACCTATTAACACATAGTTTCAGCTTCTCTCATCTCTAACCTGAAAACAGAAAGTATTGAGAGATCACAGGCAATGCATTCTAGATGCTCATTCACTATGTTCTTATTACCCAGTGGTCACTATGAGATGAGCACATTTCACATTTCATTTACATATGT